CTTCTTGCCGAGGGGGATGGTATTCGGGTTCACCCAAGCGTTTACCTTCGTGTGGTGCCCTCGGGGAGGCCCCTGATGAGAAGGTCCCTCCTGCCGAGGGCTCTGAACAAATTGGGACAGGTGTCCCGCTTGTATTAATCTCTCGATGACTGTCTTTAGCTGATGGCAGTCATCGGTTCTGTGCCCCTGGTGCCGATGGAAGCGACAGTATGGGAACTAAGGGTTGATAGCATGTACCTCCGGGGGTGCGCGAGAATCGCGCTCAACAAGGCCCCTCTCCTCGGCAAAATCAAGGATGATGCTGACAGGGTGCGTCAATGGTGTCTGGGGGCGGTCCAGGAGGATGGGGTGTGCCCAAGTCTTAGGGCTGCTCTTATAACCTCCCCCGGGCTTGGCTTGGCCTTGCCGAGGGCGGTCATCAGAGGGTCCTGAAGACTTGGGGTGATTTGGAGGAGCCCCCGGCCCTCGGTTGTTCTTGTTGTCAGCCCTCGGGGGATGCTGATCCGTATGCTGGTGGTATTTCTCCACCTCCTCGGCTTCAGCATATCGATCCCCCCGCTGCACAGCCCTTATGTAGTCGCGGGGGGGGGGGGGGGGGTTCAATGATGAGGCTCCTTGAAAAGTTGCCGGTGCGGAGGACGGTTTGTAGGAGGGCCAGGAGCGTCCCGTCATCGGCACCGTCGACTTTGTCGGCTTCCGTCCTCCAGCGCTCCAGGAAGTCCCGAAGGGTCTCATCCCTCTTCTGGCGTATGGTTAGGAGGTGGGAGAAGTGCTTCCTTGTGCGACGCCTCCCGGCAAATTGTGTCAAGAATCGTTGGGCGAGTTCTTGCCACGAATCAATGCAGCCCTCGGGCAACCGGTTGAACCATTCGTATGCCGGCCCCTCTAAAGTGGAGAGGAACCAACGACACAAATATTCGTCCGACGCCCCTACCATCATCATGTTGTTCTGATATTTGCTGTAGTGCTCCTGGGGGTCCGTCTTCCCGTTGTAGGGCTGTATGTGTTGCCCTCGGTATTTTTCCGGGATCCGGGCCGCCAATACCCTTGGGGTAAATGGCGTCCGGGTCCGTAGCTGGATCACGGGTTCTCCGGAGCCCTCGGCCACCTTCTTCTGTAATTCCTCCATTTTGGCCATCATGGCCTCGTATTTGAGGTCTGAATGAGGGGTGGAGGTGGTGGCGTGAGCTTTGTTGGCCTCCATTTCATCAAGCCGGCGTTGGTGGGCCGCAATAATTTCGTCCCGGGGATCCTACGGGAGGGTCTCCGCCCCCTGCGAACGAACCCGGGCCGAATGGGCCTGGTTGATTTGGTGGTGAGCATCATCGGCATGAAGGGGTGCCTTGCCTTTGTCCCGAGGGGGACGTTCCTCGTCTGCCCTCGAGACAGACCCTCCGCTTTCCTGGGGCCTTTGGAGTGCTTTCCCTCCGAGGCGGTCTTGGACCCCTCGGTGGTCTGGCCCTCCTCCGAGCAGGTTGAGGGCGGAAGTGCGGGGCCTTTCTCTGTTGTCATTATGGCGGTCCCGGGACTGAACTTCCTGGGAGGACGTATCTTGGGCCACTACCCCTTCGTTGTTCCTAACCCGAGGGGTGGGGTTTCCGAAGGGGTGTGGCAGAGGGGGAAGTATGATGTTCTCCCCTATTTGGGGGTGAGCCGGAGCCAGGGTGCCGAAGGCACCCGGGTTCTGAGTGAGCGTTTGGATGAAGGCGGAGAGCGCCAATTGCACGTCGATGGTGAGAACCGGAGGGCTGACTTGGTCATCGCTCCGGTTTTTCTTCTTGGCCTCGATGCCGATGCGGGCATCGGGGGCATTCTGTATGATCTGAAGGCGTAGGTCGACAGCCGCCTGTTCCAGCCCAGCGATGACACCGCCCTCGGGAGCCCTGTGAGAGGCTTCAGGGGCGTTGACGTCGCCGAGGGCCAGGTTCTTGTCTTCTACGTTTTTGGAGTTGGCACGTGTTGTTCTCACCATTTTGGTAGAGGGCTAGTGTTTGGCGAAGGGGGAGGGTTTCTTACTCGATTGTTCGACCTCTCAACGAGAGCACCAAATGATGGATAGTCCACCCGGGGGGTATATATCCGAGGGGTTATTGCTGAGAATAACTTAGAGAGAAGTCAGAGCACAAGTAAGTGAGAGAGAGAGTGTATTCAGTATGAATGTCGTGGTTTACAACGGGGAAAAGGGGGGCTATTTATAGTAGCAATAAATGCCGGACAGGGACACGTGTCAAGCATCCATTGGCCGAGAGGTCACCTCATCTGGTTGGCGCTGGCAAACGCATGTGGCCGCATTTAATGCGGCTGTTGGATGGGACGTTGCACAAGGTACGGTGATCTGTACGCGCGTGAAGAGGAGATCTTGTCGAGTGAGGTGCCTTCGGCTATAGAGCAGTAGCCGAGGACTCCTCAAACCGAGGGCACCCTGGTGCCGAGGGCTCCTGGTGCCGAGGGCTACTGTTCTCGCCGTTTTCTCCCAGTTTCTTAGTTTGCTTGAGAAACCCGTTCTGTGAGAGTTTAGAGCCTTCGGTCAGGGGGTCGAAGGCACCCCTGGTGCGCTGTGGGCTGCTTGGTACTCCGGGCGCCATGATTTGGGCCTGTTGGGCCTTCTGGGCCTGTTGGGCCTTTACTGGAGTAGTGGGAGTCTGTGGGCCGGGGGTTCCCGGGCCATATACTCCATCATTCCTCAATTGTGAAATTCCGAACATATGATGTATCTTAGATTGGTGAGGTGATAGTTAGATGATAGTTTCCAAATTGTATGCTAACATTCCAATCTTATTCAGAATTTCAAATGGACCTAAGAACATAGAGCTTAGGTGATAGTTTTTTATTCGATCTGTAAGCGACCGAGTGATGTCTATATGGTTGAAGTTTGACATACATTAAATCACCGATCTGGAATTCTTGGTTTATCCTATGCTTAATGACAAAAAAGTAGAACACACAAATCCAAATTTTTGTAGTTTTAAGTCAATGGAAAATAAAAACCCCTTCAAATATCTACATATTTTTCCTCTACTCAAGCATGGTAATTTAGACTCACATATGAAGCAAAAATAATGTAGTCTATTTCAATTAAGTGGTGGCTAAACTGATGTCAATTTCTATAAGCCTAGTTAAGGATCATCACAAATAATCTTTTTTTACTAAGTTTCATTTTGAACTTATATTAATACATAATGTAAACTCAGAAAACTGGTTTAATAACCGAGAATCTTTTTGACCCAATCATAACAAATAGCTAGCCTGAACGGGAATAGAAAAATTCATAGTTAAAACTAACCAAAAGAATAGTAATTTGTATGGTTTCAAAACCCTTACTTTTGTTGAACATTTCAATCTTAGCAATGATGAGAGCAGGGAGAGCAGGGGGTGGGAACGGGCTGGGCCCACCTATGCCCACTTTTTTTGTCATTAAGCATAGGACATTTCAACCTTGAGGACAAAGTTAGTTTGAAGGAAGATGAGAACAGGGAGAGCAGGGGGTGGGAACGGGCTGGGCCCACCTCTGTGGGCTGGTTGTGGGCTGGGATTATAGTTTTATTTATTATTATAAAGTTTATGTTATGTTTTCTATTTTGGGCCTATTATTAGTAGAGTATTTAGTACAATTAATTTGGGCCTAATTAGGGTTTACTTAATTTGGGCTCAATTAGGGTTTCTGTTGAGTCTGTTACTAGAAGAGTATTTATACCCCTTGTTAGGATTCATTCTTGATCATCTATGAATAAAAGTGGAGTTTAGCCTTTTGACTCTGGGCAACGGTTTCTATCGTTGCTTATTCTGGGCAACGATTTATACTATTGGTTTTTATTTTGTTCTCATCAGTACTACTAAAATTCACTCACAAATATGAAAGCGGTTAATGCACAATTGCAAACTAATCAATGCAGTAGAATTTTGTGTTGCTTTATGAAATGGTGGAAAAGAGACAACCTCTTCCTCAACATTAACCTTCCGAGTTACTTGGGTGATTTCTGTAACCAGATAGTTTTTTTTTACCTGTAGTCGTCTGGTTTATGCATTTTTAGCATTTCCAACTATTTTCTTCTAGACTTGCAGCTTATACTTTGTGCTGGGATCTTTCCCCACATCCTCACCTTGCGTGGATGCCTTCGTGAACTGGGTTGCCCTTTGAGAGACTGAGAGAGCACTACTATTATTTACACACAATTACGAAAGTTGTGAATGCATTCTTGCAGACTAATTAATGCAGTATAATTTTGTGGTGCATTATGAAATGGTGGAAAAGAGACAACCTCTTCCTCGACATTAACCTTCTGATGTACTTGGGTGAAAATTCTGTAACCGGGTAGCTTTTTACCTGTAGTCATCCACTTTATCCATTTTTAGTAGGGATTAATTAATATTTCTACCATCATTTGGATTTGAATGTAGATGCCGTATCCGTTATTTGATCCTGCTTTATCAAATCTCATTCTCTTCACTTTGTACAGTGATTTGATTAATATATAAACTAATTGGTCTAATATATTTTTGCATATCTACATTTCAAACACCTTGTAGTAATGTAGTATGAACATTAGTGTTACTTTTAAAAGTGAAAGTCACATTTTCTGATTCCATTCTAATCAAAGGTAGAAGCATTAATACGATAGAGCCTATTCTACGTAAAATCTACATAGATCCCATTGAACTAGTTAACTCCAATTACCTAGCCGAATTCAGTTCCAATTCTGGAACTAGACTGGAATCGGTCAGGTAAAGAAACGGAAGTGCCGAAGCGGTGCTTGTCTTTTTAGTGTTGGCATATGAAACTGGCCCTAACTGGTTGTAGTTCCTCCAAGTAGAATCAGATGGACTGTTTTTTGTTTTATTTTTATTTCGAAAAGTTGAATCAGAACTCCCATTTGGATCACTTTCCTCTCTGAGGTAACTGCTTTACACTAGTGCTAGTGAATATTTAGTTTTAATTTTGGTTTAAATTGTTCACACCTACGTTTTCTAGTTTCAACAAAAAAGTCTCTCTATATTATATATGTATAGATGTTCCAAGTGATTCACAACTCACAAGATGTTTGCGTCTGCAACCTTATACAGTGTTCAAGTAGTCTCAATATTCTACTTTGTCACTGCTCCACATTATTAAGAAATATAGACATGTTATTGTTGATTGCTTGCAAAGTGGCATTAAATGGCATACATCTTCTTGAAATCATTGTGGAGAAGCTCAGAGTCAGAGACAGAGCCCGAGAAAGACTTGGACCTGCTGGCCTGCACAGAGCTGATATTCCTCTTGATGGACGACGATTCAATCCTATGCATGATCACCCAATAACACATCGTCCCCAAAGTGGTGGCCAATATGGTTGTCCCTATGATGGTGACCACGACGGCCAACCACCTCTCATGCTCCCCAACGACCACAAAGGAGAGCGCCAGGAAAGCGACCGAGATGAGGACGCATGCCAGCCACATCAGCTTGTTTATGATGGCCATCATCTTCTTCTTTGCTTTGCTCTCTATCACTACAACAGACGTCTGCACAACCACCACCGCGAGCGAGATGAATAGCGCTACGGAGTCGAAGACAAAGAAGATCATGAATGGTGCCTGGGGTGCTATGTTGGCCTCCCCAAGCGAGTGGCCTGGCGGGATGTCATCAGGGTCATCCACATATTGTCCTGGCACCGTGAATATGGCGGCGAAGGCCACTGTGGCTATGAGTACTGCCACCACTGTCGTCGAGTTTATTGCGTTGTTTAGTCCCTCCGCATGCATCTTGTTAAGGCGCTTTGCAATCCCTTGTATCCGCCTCCTTGTCTGCCGGCTGTGCTCTAACTGGTAGTGGACCTCATGCTTTATGTCACTCACTGTTTGCTTCAGTTCCCTAGCAGGGTTTGTCGCCGTTGATGGTGGCTTGAGGGCCCGGGCACTCTCTACCCCGTGCTCCCTCAGCAATCCTTCTATGTCAGCGTGCCCCATTTTTCCAGCTGTGTCAAGTGCCGTCTCGCCTGACCTGTTCACTGCTCTTGTGTCCATTTGGTTCTGTCCCAGTAACATCTTCACAATCTGCATGCATTGTCCCAACTAAGTAATTGGTCTCAACAAAGATGCATAACATCTAGCTGGTTGCAAATAATTTAAATGAAATGAGTGAATCATCCAATGTAGTCTAAACCATATTTCAAGAAGTCTATATTCAATGAATACAGCAGGAATAGTGTCTTTTCTCTTTAACTCTACTATTTTACCGGAAAAACCGCTTCTGTACTACACCATACATATTTTTTGAATTTTTTTCACCTGTCAAATAATAAAACATATACTCCCTCTGTATTCTTTTGTTTGTTACACTTTCCTTTTTGGGAAATACTTTTTTGTTTGCTACACATTCCATTTTAGATATGTTTTCCCTTTAAAAATTCTAATTACACTTGTTTTTCTATTTTTCATATTCTCTTTCATACTTTTCTACCTCTTCTCTTATATTTTCTATACTATTTATTACCCCTACTATTTTTTCCTTAAATATTGTGCCAACCCTGTTGCAGTAAACAATGGAATATGGAGGGAGTATTTCAAACAGTATACCATATAGACAGACAGTCACACACACACGTATACACATACATTTATTGGAAAAGAGTATAAGAGAATATAGAATGGATAATAAACCTGGACTCTGCCCTTTCTAGTAGCTACATGCAAAGTTGTGTTGCCCTTGGTATCAACCATGTTGACCGATAAAGGATCAGCTTGAATCAGTACTTCAACAACCTTGAGATTCTGCCCTTTGACCGCCATGTGAAGGGCAGTTTGACCTTTCTTGTCCACCCGAGTAACTAGACTCGGTTCCTTACTCAAGATGGCCATAACAACATGGACATGCCCGTTCCTAGCAGCCGAATGCAAAGCAGTTTTGCCATTGCTTTTAGCTATGGCAGCAAGGCTGCTCTCTATCTCTAACAAATAATTCACTACCTCTATATGCCCTTGAGTTGCTGCCGTGTGTAGCGCAGTTGTGTTTGCCATATCAACCGTCATGGAAAGCTCTGGGTGAGCCTCCATTAGTACCTTCACCATCTCTTCAACAAAAATTGGCACATATTACTACTGTCAGTAATGCAAGAGGGAACACCACCAGTCATCCCATGGATAACACACCTCATGTGGAATTATTATTATACCCCTGTACTTCATAAAGTTACCTATTCATTCATGTAAGGAAAATAACCAACATTTATTTTAATCCAAATCCAACCTACCTTCCCCTAAAACGAATTTGTCTACTCTTAAGAAGAATAAGCAATGGTGGAACCAGAAATGTGGTATTAGAGGGGTCAACGCTTCGAAAATTACTACCTCCGTCCCACTATGATTGTCCCGTTTTACCTTATCGGTCCATCCCACTAAGATTGTCCCATACCAAATTTGACATAGTTTGTGTGGCTCTAAATCATTCTTACTTTATTCTTACTCTATCAATTCAATATCAACCACATAAACCACTTTTTATTGATTTGTGTGTCACTCCCTCATGTCCCATTGTTAGCGGGACGGAGGGAGTATATTTTAGGGGCCAATTTTGCATATGTCAACGTATTCTTTATGGATTAAGTGTGTGTACACACACGCCAGATACAACCCCTTAATCCCAACTATAAAGCTAATAAGCTAAATAAGTCATTAAACAATGAAGAGTATTGGAGTACCTAAATCGCCTTGTTTGGCAGCAATGTGGAGGGCATCGAAGCCATTTTTCGCCTTGATCCCAGCAGCCACAAGGTCATAATATGTGATCAGTTCTCTAACCAAATCAACATACCCATATTCTGCAGCCACATAAAGTGCTGTTTCTCCTGCTGAGTTTTGCTTTATTAGCAACTCTTCCAATTCTATCCCTCCTCCTGTCTTCCCAATAGTGTCTCTTATTGCACCAATGTTTCCGGCTCTCGCTGAAGAATGCAATACTGTATCCTCACGTTTCCCGGTCAGCTGTTTCGTCATCTTCTTCCGGGGAGCCACCAAGGGCATCTCCATCCTGCCGGAATTTCTCCCTTTCCTTCTTTAGAGTTTTATTTTGCTATCTATAATATCTAATAATGCAAAAATCTCTTCTTTCTTCCCTCAAAAACCCAAATCAACAAATGCAATTTTCTACAAAAAGGGGACAATAAACACAAATAATTATTATCTCAAATAATTATATACATGTAATATATAAATTCCTAAATTCCATCAATGCAATCATTTTTTAGATTTTATAAAATTCACAATCGAGTCTTGAACATTTCTGATCTATCCCTCTTGGGTACAAAAGATATTAGAAATTATGCCCTAAAAGAATGTTTAATTTCCGGTCATCATCATGGATACCACGAAAAGAAGATTGTGAATGTAAATTAACCAATGCGAGAAAAAGGATGGCTTTTACGGTTTCACCTGGACATGGTGGAGAAGCTTCAACCTCCTGCTAATTGCCATTAACATTCACATGGCCCATCAATCCTCATAGCTGTTGATGAAGAAAACAACCTGTAAATTTGGCTCCGATAGTGGAATTGCTAAGAACGTGATAAAGGAACAAGCTAGGTGTGTAATATATTATACTCAAATGTATCAGAATATAATAATAAGGCTAAAGCTACAATAATAGGTAAGGTGTAATCTTTTGTAATTCAATCTTCATGCGTACTCCGGCTTTTTTCTTCTTCAAAGTTTCCAGGAAAAAATGACGAGGCGATAAAGTAGGGGCAGTAAATACCAGATCAAAGCAAGAGGTCAAGAAATAATCGCGGTAAAAATGTTTCACCAGCTTTGCTCAAATGAAAAGTCAGGTTAGTCGGCAACCGGAAATAATTAATCATGCCCATTCAAGAACGTAAGCATGATACAAACAGACAAAGAACACATAGTCTATCATCTGCCTTTGAACGCATAGACTAACATCCCAAACAAACTGATAGACCTAACAACCAAAACGATAATAAGAAATCAAATGACAAAATAATAATAACTAATACGAAAACTATCACGGATTCTAGCACCTCGTACAACTCATGGCGGTGGTTCAGGAGGAGGCCGTATCATTGGTATCACTCTAATTGAACCTCCATTGTCGATCAAAATCTGGCCTATTCGAATCTCGTGCAACTCTCCTCGTCCCACATACTTCTCGCTTGGGCTCTCCTCCTTCGCTTCATGTTGGCTGCCGATTACTTGCTGATTCGAGCCGTTCGTCGCCATCTACTATCCCCTGCTTCTATTCGCCTTGCACGAGCCGCACCAGATCGGCGGAATTGCCAAACCCTACGAAGAGGGAAGAGACCGCCGCTTGTGTGCGAAGTAGGTAATTAATTAGATGACAAATGTTCTTTCTACACATCAAATTTTATATCACATTTTATACGCCAGTCAAATTGTTTGTGCATAATATTTTTTGGGTTTTGTGAAGAGAACCATTTTTCGCATCAAAAAATAATGTATGTAATAGACAAATCATATTGTCCTTGTGAAGAACGATTTTCTTCACAAAATGACAAAATTGTGACAACTTGATCGGTGTGTAAAATGCCATGTACAATTTGATGTGTACAAACAACATTTCTCATCTAATTTACCTACTCGAAGAGAAGGAGGAAGAGGAGGAGGAAGAGGAGGAGGGGGAATTAGTGACGGCAGGGGCGGAGCCAGGGCACTGGGCCCTCAAACTGAGCTGATACAAAGAATATTTTTGAATTTTTAATACACGGAATTTTTTACACTGAAAATATAGACATTTTTAAAATTTAGGCTGGGCCAGGGCTGACCCTCCCCTAGCTCTGCCCCTGAGTGACGGTTGACGAGCACTTTGTCACGGTGTGTCAAAATAAATTCAATACTAAACACTTATACGTTGTATAGCGTAGTAGAGTTCGTATACACATGGAAAGGAATAATTCTCTTTTTATGATACTTAGTAAATAAAAAGGGGGGATTTGGATTGAGTGATTTAATTTAATTAAGAACTAAGATGAAAATCCTATATCTGTTTCATTCAAAGATAAAAAGGACTAGGCATTGCTACTTTCCACTTGTTGATATATTTTAGTCGATCATTGTTATATCTATAACTTATTCTCTCTCGAATACTCAATCGGGAAGTATATCCACTTCATCGAGGGTAGTTATTAACAACAACCGTTCATTAATAACCCTTACTATTAATCAAATATAGAACAACGCCTTATACCGATTTAATAGTAGCATATAATCTTTCTAACTCCTTGATGAAATCAATTGAGATTGATAACCTCAACACAACGGTTTCGGTTTAACCAACAAAATTAATCCCTCTTAAGTTTATTAACCACGACCGTGCATTAATAAACCGAAGTTACTTACTTGTGAAACCATCAACGATTAACCATCGGTTCGTTGATCGTTTCTAGTAATAATTAATATATGAAACAAAACTAGTTGATCCTTTAAGTAATGTTCAAAATATTAATATGAAATATGAGTAGGGATTAATTAATATTCAAGGAAGAATATTATTAAAGAAGATGAATCCTACTATAATTAATATCAAGATGTTAACTAATTGTCATCTTAGCAACACTCCACAACATTAATATAGAGGAAGAAAATATCATTCTAACTAATGTCGAGATGTTAACTAATTGTCATCTTAGCAACACTCCCCAACATTAATATAGAAATGGTAATAAGGAAAGAACTCTTAATTAATATTCAAGGAAAGAAGTTAAGAAAATAACTCACAACTTTAATAATCAACAAGCTTCACGAGCAACACCGAGAATGGAAGTTTAGCTCCTCATTTGAAGACTAAACATAGCTAGAAAATTATAAAGAAATGCTTTTCTAAACTGAGCTTAGGAGTATGGAAGAAGGGATGAATAAAAGTGAAGGAAAATGGGGCTATTTATAGGTGTTTTACAACACCTTTGGCCGGGTACCCGACCGGGTCAAGTACTCACCCGACCGGGTCCGGCTAAAATCAGATATTTCCCCATGTTCTGGTGATCTTCGCACACCGGGTTGTCCCCGGTCACTTCTCACCCGACCGGGTGAGGTATGGGGTCCGACCGGGCCCAGCTCTTTCCTCAGTGGTTCGGTTTTCAAATCAGACCCGACCGGGTGAAGTTTCCTACCCGGTCGGATTTTTGCTCCTGGACAGTCAAAATTCCTTTTTCTTCACTTCAACATCCTCATTTCCAACATCCTAATTCCTAATTCTACTTTACAACTTACAAATGAGAACTAAAATACAATTACAAATAAAATCACAAAAATGTTTACAAACTAAATAAAACGTCAAACAATCACCATCAATGAAACATAAAAACATACAATTATGCACTACTAATTAGTGTGCATCAAACACACCCACACTTAAACCTTTACTCGTCTCGAGTAAATCAAATCAAATCCAAGAAGTCCTAAATGACAAGAATATCAATACAAAACATCCAAGAGTGTTTTTACCACAATATAAAGCATCCCCAATAGTAATTAAAGTAAAACGGGGTCTTCAACTTCATCTTTATCTCCATTTCTCTTTTAAACTTATCACCTTCAGGATCCTGCAAAATAGACATTTCTCTCATTCTCTCGTTTTGCCTAGGTGCCCTTTCAGGTTTTCATCCCAGCTTCCCACATTTTTCTTTTAATTCTCACAACCTCACTCTTTATTTTATTGCTTTAATTTTTGCTTGAGTTGCCCTTTGTGGATATTCAACTCAACAAGCTCTTTTTGTTTTTTTGAAAAAAAAAGAGTAGGATTGTGAGCATACCAAAACAATCTTTGCACCCCCACACTTAGGATCTGGCACTGTCCCTAGTGCCCGCCTATACCTCCACCTTGGTGTCTGTCCTCATCCATGTGATCCACGTCATAACCACCATCATTGCCTCCACCACCGGAACTCGATCCTCCAAAGTAACCCCACTGAGAGGGGTCATACCATGATGGTGCGGGAGGGGGAGTGGTCATAGAGGAAAAGGAGTCCTGGTGTGCTACATAGGAGTATATCGGACCAAAGGTTCACCATTGGTCCTCTTCATATCTCCGCCAGTCTTCTTGCCGTTGTTCCTCCAACCTCTCAAAGCTATGCCTCTGCTCAGTTCTATACTGATCAACTCGCTCTTGAAGCTGGATGTAGTTGTTGTTGATCATGTTCATGTTATTGAGCATCTGTTGCTCGAATGGTGAGTATTGGTACGCTGGAGCATCAGGTTGTTGTTGTGGTGGGTTAGGTATGAAGGGCGGGTTTTCTTCAGCAGGTTCTTCAGCCAAATTTTTTAAATGAGTCCATAAGATAGAGGCAACGTCAACTGGTTCTGGTCCAGGTAAAACAGCTTGTGCCAGAACACACACATCCCACATTCTTGTGTGGTGATTATTCGGTCTTCCGAGGAAACAATTTGAACAGAATTTTAGGAAAATACGGAAGACCGGATGTTGAACACAGTTCACACTCAACTTAGAAAGGTCCACCACACCTTGTCCTGTCATTCTTTTCCATAACTCGTATCCCACAAGCGTATCATAAGCACGAGCTTCATCAAACAGAGGGAGGCCAAAATGATGTGCAAATTCTCTTTTGGTCAATGAATGATTTTCATTGAGTAAACGAAAGGTGATGGTGTCATTTGCATGATCATCATCATCCTTTGTATACACATATGAACTAAAGAATTCATAAACCAAATGAGGATAAGTCACATATTGCATTTCTAGCAACCTAGTCATTCCAATTCTTGCAAATATATCACGCATGATCATATCAATCCAAAGGAGGGCTAGAGTAGTAATGCACATGAATCGGGATTGTTTTACCTCCCTTTGTGCTTGTCCCTCGAAGAGTTGCTTTTGTGCCTCCGTTGCAAATTCCACGCTTTCATAGCCCGCTACCGATGGGATAGCCCTTGAAGAAGAAGTTTTGGATTTTTTTGGAGCCATGGGAATTGATTTTTTTTAAATGAATTTTCGGACTTTTGGGTAGGGTGGGATTTGGATGGCTTTTATGGATATGGTGTTGAAGAGGATGGTGAGAAGAGTAAGAATATGGTATTGGTTGAGGATTTTTGGGGAGATTTCGACCCTTGAATGTCCAAGAATGGGGATTTTCGAATTTTGGGTAGGATTTTTGGGTTTGGTTGATTTGGAAGGTTTTGGGGGATTGTATGGGTATAGAGATGAAGAAGGAAGTGAGGAGATGAAGAAACTGGGGTTTTTAGTGGATTTGGTTAAGGAAAGGGGAAGATTCGAAGGTTTGGGTGTTTGAAAATGGTGGAATTTGGGTGTTTTGGGCGTTGGGAGGAAGAAGAAGTGGGAGGGGAAGAGGTGAGCCCGACCTGGTATAGCTCTGTTTCCCGTTCGCCCGGTCGGGTGGGGTATTTTACCCGGTCGGGCGTACACTGTTTACCCGAGGACGAATGTTTTTTTGGTGGGTTGCCCGGCCGGGTATAGGGGTCTACCCGGTCGGGTGTAAACTGTTCACCCGAGGCAGAAGGTTTTTGCTGGCTTGCCCGGCCGGGTATGGAAGTCTACCCGGTCGGGCGAAAAATTTATTCTTGTTTTGCTCTCGCCTCGCCCGGGTGGTTGCCTGGGTGTTTTGTTTTTAGAAGTAACCCGACCGGGTTAGGGTTTATACCCGACTTGGATGTTGTTGTTGTTGTTGAGTAAATAAAAAGGGGGGATTTGGATTGAGTGATTTAATTCAAAGATAAAAAGGACTAGGCATTGCTACTTTCCACTTGTTGATATATTTTAGTCGATCATTGTTATATCTATAACTTATTCCCTCTCG